CGGTTAGTGAGACTAAATACAAGACTTATGAAAATTTCTATAAGAAATTAAAATCTAAGGAGGGAGAAAAAGATATATATCATCTTGCTAAGATGAAAGAAAGGAAAAGTAGGGACTTTGGTAATATTAGGTGTATTAAGAGTGAAAATAAAAGAGTTCTACTAACCGATGAGGAAATAAAAAAGAGGTGGAGCTATTTTCGGTTAGTGAGACTAAATACAAGACTTATGAAAATTTCTATAAGAAATTAAAATCTAAGGAGGGAGAAAAAGATATATATCATCTTGCTAAGATGAAAGAAAGGAAAAGTAGGGACTTTGGTAATATTAGGTGTATTAAGAGTGAAAATAAAAGAGTTCTACTAACCGATGAGGAAATAAAAAAGAGGTGGAGCTATTTTCGGTTAGTGAGACTAAATACAAGACTTATGAAAATTTCTATAAGAAATTAAAATCTAAGGAGGGAGAAAAAGATATATATCATCTTGCTAAGATGAAAGAAAGGAAAAGTAGGGACTTTGGTAATATTAGGTGTATTAAGAGTGAAAATAAAAGAGTTCTACTAACCGATGAGGAAATAAAAAAGAGGTGGAGCTATTTTCATAAACTATTTAATGATAAGTAAATAGGTGAACAACATAGAAAATTTGATCATCTAGTAAATGATAAAAACTATGATATTGTCAGAAAATTAGGATCAGTGAAGTCAAAGATGCTCTAAAGAAAATAAAAAATAAAAGAGCCTTAGAACTGAACAATATCCCTATTGAAGTTTGAAAATGTCTTGGAGATATAGGATTAGGATGGTTGACCAAATTATTTAATAAGATTACTGAGACAAAAAGAATGCTCGATGAGTGGAGGATTAGGACGTTGATACTGATATATAAGAATAAATGAGATAAGAATAAATGAGATATACAAAGTTGTTCAAACTATTGTGGTATTGAATTCATGAGTCATATAATGAAACTTTGGGATAGGGTAATTGAGCAAACACTAAGAAAAGAGACAAGTGTATCTGAAAACCAATTCGGTTTTATGCCCGAGGTCAACTATAGAACCTATACATATTTTGAAACGGTTGATGGAGAAACATAGAGAAAAAAGAAAGGATCTATATATGATTTTCACTGACCAAGAAAAAGCTTATGATAGAGAGCCTAAAAAGGTAATGTGGTGGGTTTTAGAAAAGAAACACGTATCTAGTATATATATATTGATGTGATTAAAGATATGTACGATAGAGTAACAACTAAAGTAAGAGCTAATGAACGAGTTTAAGTCTTCCTATAACTATAGGTTTATGTCAAGGGTCAGTCTTAAACTCTTTATCTTTTTGCTTTATTTATGGACCAGCTTACTAGACATATTCAAGATAAAGTATCATATTGTATGTTATTTGCTGATGATATCATATTAGTTGACGAGACCAAAACAGATGTAATTTCTAAAGTAAAAAAGTGAAGACAAACACTTGAAACTAAAAGTTTTCGAAATAGTAGAACAATAACAGATTATATAAAATGCATTTTTAGTAAAACTAGAAAGAGAAAAGAGCTTATAGTATATATTGATAGCCAAGAAATATCTAAAAACAATCAATTTCGCTATTTAGGATTAATCATTCGGCATGATGGTGAAATTAAGAATGATATTGTCAATCAAATCAAATCAGGATGGTTAAAGTGGAGGAGTGCTTCGAGACTCGTGTGATCGTAAAATACATGTTAGACGTAAGGGAAATTTTATATGACAATTATAAGACTAACAATACTTTATGGATCAGAATGTTTGGGCAATTAAAAAATATACGCCAAAAATAGGTATAGCAGAAAAGAGAATGTTGAGATGATCTTGTAGGTATACACTAAAATATAGGATAAGAAATGAGTGCACCTGTAATAACTTAAAGGTTGTTTATATATAAGATAAAATAAGAGAATGGATTAAGGTGGTATGACTATGTACAACGTAGAACTCTTAGTGCACCGGTTAGGAGCGGTAATAATATTATAGTTAATGGAGCAAAGAGATCTAGAGGTAGACCTAGAAGGACTTGGTTGGAAGTAATTAAGAACGATGTAGTTATGGTTAGCTTAATAGAGGAGATAACCAATAATAGAATGGAATGGAAGTAAAGGGATTTATGTAGCCGACCCTAAACACTTAGGATAGAGGCTTTGTCGCTGTTGTTGTATTTGTCTCAAGCCAGGATAAAGAAAAAAAGGTAATGTTAGGTAATTGACAACTAATATAAAGCCTAGTAAGATCTTTATGAATATGAAACCTAAAGAACTCTTGTTGGGTTGGTCCCATTTTTGTTGGGTCATTCGCACCACGACGCATCATATAGATGCCAATGCAATGATAAGTAGACAATGGTGTGTCATATAGATGTCAATGTAATGATAAGTAGACAATGGTGATTTGCTAGGTTGTCCCTCAAATATTTTAGGTAGATGAGTCATTATCTATGAATTGTTTAATGATAATCAAATAATCAAATAAGAGAACATATGATAGAATCTAACAACATTACACGGTAGGAACTATAAATATTATCGAAAAAATAGGACTAGTACAGTTACGTATGTTATAAAGAAATAAAAGTTGAAAGTTGTAGGATAGGAAGATATTCCTATCTTATGCAGATAACACAGTGGATCTTAGAAAAACAAGTATCAAACATGTATATTGATTTTATTAGAGAAACGTATGATAGAGCAACTACTAAAATTAGGACAATCAGAAGAGAGAACAAAAAAACATCCTATTACCACAAATTTGACCAAGGATCGCCTTTAAGGCCCCTAATCTATTTTCCATTAGTTAGAACTTACTAGACATATTCAAGGCGAGTGATGACCAATACTATGCTATTTGTTGATTAGTTTATGATATAGTATTAGCCAAGAAAGCTCGAAGAGATAGATTTAAAGTAGAAAATGAAGAGAAACTCTTGAATCTAAAATATTTAGAATAGAAAATAAACACAGAAAAAGCAGACAGTGTATATTAGCAGCCCAAAAATACCAAAGAGTAATCACTTTGGAGGATTAGGATTACACATTGATAACAATGATGAAAATGAGGACGATGTAGTTCATAGAATTAAATCAGAACAATAAAAGTGGAGAAATGCTTCTGGAGTCCTATGCGATCACAGAATATCTATGAAATTGAAAGGAAAATCCTAGGGGATTACCATAAGACCAACAATGCTTTATGCATCAAAATGTAGGTAATTAAGCAACAAAATGTGCAAAAAGGAGTGTGGCAGTAACGAGAATGCAACGATGGACGCGTGGACATACACTATAAGCTCGCTATGATGGACGCGTGGATATACACTATAAGCTAGGATAATAAATTCGTGCATTCATAGGAAGTTACTGGCCTACTCTTTTGAGGATAAAATGAGAGAATCAATTGACATAGTTTGGCAACATGAAATGAAGCGACTAAATGCACCCTTTTGGAGGATGTGTCAAAATTATAGTTAATAACACAAAGGACTCCAAAGAGAATTTGGTTAGAAGCATTTAAGAAGTATATGACAATGATTAACTTAGTGAAAGAGACAACTCTTGATAAAATTGAATGGAAGAATAAGATTCACGTAGCTAACTTAGGAGAAGGCTTTTCCTTGTCATTGTTGTATCCTTGCTACGTCCACTTAAATGATTCATATATGGATGATAATGACAAAGAACAAAGTTAAAAAGATTCTTTAATAGCATTCAACAAGTACCGATATACCTAGTAGTTTTCTTGTGGTATGAAAGGGTGCGTGTGGTAGTGGGATATTTTATTGTGATTAGTGCGTTTGGGCGTTTGCATAATTGTAGGTTGGTTGGGGTTTGGTGCCGATGAGGAAGAAATCTGAAAGCTAACAGAATTATGGAAATCTCCATGTTTCAACATTCTGTTTCATGTGAAGTTATGAGCCTGTGCAAGGGTCACGATTAGCTGGTTAAGAACTGTTGCATGCTTTTATCTGTAGCAACAATGACATCTTTAAATCTCAAAATTTAGCTAAGACTTTGACCAAAATAGGAGTAGATAGCTCAAACCAACAAATTAAATGCAAATATGCAGTAAACATCAGGTCAACTAGGAAGCAAAGAGAAGAGGGAATTCAAACTCAGTGTTAGAAATCTAAGTACGAAATCTATTAGTTAAATGCAGAGCATCAGTGAAAGCAATTAGTTTTATTGCACAAGTAAATATTACCTGAAAGAAGGCCTTGCTTTCCTCAATTTCTTCTAAGACCTCTTTACTTAACAGGTCTATCACTTTGAATTTCTCAGTTTCTATTGCTCGTAAACTAACAGCCATCGAAGGCTTATTCTAGAAAATGAGCAGACATCATTAAGTGAGAACAAATGATCACCTTATATTCGCAAGACTCTTAAATGGCAGGACAAAATTTCCCAGTTGGACATAAATTACCTCGGGTCCAATATAATTCCACATTTTGATGGAGGAAGTTTCATTCTGATCAGAACTTAAGTATCCTTTACTCTTGAGGTCCGTAATTGCACTTTGCAGGACAGCACCAAAATACTTCTCATCATATTGTGTACACAATGGAAGTTCCACAGCAGCACAGGCAATATGTTGTTCTAGAACCTACAGACAGCACAGAGTTATAAAGTTAAATTTCCAGGTAGAAACCTGAGCTTCATCTGCACATGAATACCTTTTACAGTTACTCATAATGTTTGTATATCTGCATGTATAACTATATCACATGCTTGGGCATATTCTACAAATACTTTGGTATCACAACCACTATTTTGTATCATGATTTTATAACGAGTCCACAAATGTTTCCGTTTTATAACTGTGTTTAGTGTCCCTTTCTTGTGTTTCCCATTTATACAAACAGATAAACAAGACGGATTGCATCTGTCCAGAAAATAGTTATTCATTAAAAAGTACCTAAAGGATATCAGGGAAATTAACAGAATATAAAAGTAACAGTAAGAACAAAAGATAAAAGTAACAGTAATAAGAAAACATGGTTTAACAAGTCAAAACTCAACCCAAACTGATTTTATAGTCTATACAAGAACACAGTAAGTCATTTACTAATGTATGAAACAAAATACCCATGGCTACTAAACCTTCTGGTTTTGACCATCAACTTGGCAATGTTCAATCGGTCTCATGAAGAGCTTATGTGGATGTTTCATGAAATACTGATCCAAGGGCCCATCAAATGCAACATAAATAGCCAATGACGGTTTTGATCTTCTTCCAGATCTACCAGCTTGTTGCCAAAGGCTAGGCACAGAAAGAAGAATGATCTAGCAAGAAAAATAAGAAAATGAAAACACTATGGCGAAAGATTGAGTTTCATACCTTGCAACACTACCAGGAAAACCAAGATGCAATGTCGCATCAATATGTCCAACATCAATGCCAAGTTCAAGTGCATTTGTAGCAGCAACACCCAAAAGCGTTCCCCCAAAAAAACGACTCTCTATACTCCTCCTATCCTGCTCCAAAAATCATGAAATGGAAAAACATAGACCAGGTAAGGAGACAAGATAAAAGAAATGACATCATCAATCTCCTAAACAATAAAACAATTCAGCATAACCACAAAGCATAAGTGAATTACAAAAAAAAGACGCCAAATTACTTTTTGTAAACAGAAAATAACTTCTAGAAAAATTCTGCAAATAGATTTCTTATTGAACTTTAAATGTGGAATATTTACTCATTGATTTTGATCGTCTAAGTTTAAAAAACTCTTTAATTCGAACTGGAACTCTTTAAGATAGATTTGCTTGCAATTTTTATTTTGCAATGAAGATTGATATCCACTAGAGCACCAAAAGAAAGGTTTTATCCACTGATAACTCTCTGATCCATATTACTTCATAATCTTGTTTTTTCTCTAAACAACCTGACTGCACTCATGATTCAAATCTTAAACTTAAACTCGGTCAGAAGCCGACAAAACACAATGATCCAGAGACAGTCAAGATCAACCAATTTATCAGGACATGGAGTCAGTAAAGGCAATACACTCATAAACTAGGATCTGATAGTTTATCCATTAAAAAGCCAACAAAGTCAATCAATGTTAACAGTCCACAAGGATGCTTTCAAAATGATTGATAACCATTATACGTGTAACAATATTCGGTGACAGAAACTTTGGGACAGCTATTCAAGGATACTCCTTTCTGTTTACTTGAGGGTAATTATTTTAGTTTTAAGTCAGCATCGTACTTATTATTTGCCAATTGCCATTTACCACCTAGATTACATCCCATTTTATGTCAATCTCAGACATCAAATATCTAAACCAAGTTGATCAATTAAAAAAAGCATGAATCCTTAAGCGCCCCATTTGGTGTCTATATATTATTCACCTAAATCCCTCATAGGACTAGGAGTTCAAACTAGAAATAAAAGCTAAATAAATGCGCACAGATTCTAGTTAACAAGACCTGATACAACAACCAAGAAAGAAGAAGGAACATCAAGTACTTGTATTACAGAAACTTTGAAAACGGACATTTTAAAAAAGGTCTAGTCTCAAAAATGCAAATAAAATGTACACATTATAATACTGTCTTCTAGATGAAATACGTTCATGATAATTTGAAAAACAGACTGGAAAAATGTATATATATTTCTGACTGATACATGCTAACCATCTACCTGTTTTAATATATTTATCGGAAGAAGCAAATGGAGATCTGTCTTTATGTTCAATTATGTTTTATATTGAAACTTAAGCAAGTATTAGCAGAGCTAAGGAAAAGGATAACATATAGTGAGAGCAGATAAAATACTTCTATAAGAAAATTTGATAAAATTTCGAAAGGGCTTAACAATTCTTTTCTCTTTTTTCATTTGGATGGATGGGAATAATCGGAGTTATATCTGTAGTACATAAATTATACCCAGTTAAGTAAAAGGGAGGCAGGAACATGTAAGGTAATACCTGAATGTGGCAATGGGTCTAGTAACGGGTAGAGGTTGGAATCACTTCAGGTTAACTTGTGTATGTCAAATACTTCACCCATTAGTTTATCAAGCCAAGAACGTAGACCCACATTTGACATGTCAATATTCAACTTACGCATATACAATCCATTTTACCTGATTACCAATATATCAGGTAACTATATGAGGTCTCTTAAAACAAGTGAGGGAATTGAACCCATGCCACCTGCAAAGTTTAGCACATTTGTCTAACATTTCAATTACCACAAAACAATTGTGTTTGTGATTAAATAGTAACTTTATTTTATTATGTATTTATAATACGAGTTAGTTATTTTTCTGAAAAGAGTTTTTTTCTCAAAATAGATCAAATCGGACTAACTGGATAGAGTACTTTAATCCTAACATGACCTATTTATTAGTCAGATTAAATGAGCTGTCCCGGCTGTGATCCACATCAAATTATGTCACATTTGTCTTAGTTTTTTCCAAAAATAGTTTTTTTTATCAAATCAGATCAAATCAGGCTAACTGCCTAGATTACTTTAATCCTAACATGGCCTATTTATTAGTCGGATTAAATGAGCTGTCACGGCTGTGATCCATATCAAATTATGTCCAACTGGCACCTGGTAATTACAGGTGGGGTTCGGATCGACCAGCCTGGTCAGGTCAAGATTGCCAGCCCAACATCACCCTTTCTCCCATTATCTAATGTGCTCTCCACGGCTTAACTTTGATCTCAAAAGGGTTTGAAAAATAAAAAGTTGAAACAATAAATAGTAACATACAGTTATGTTTACTGTTTAAATTATGATGGATTTAACTGATATTAGCTAATATAAACTAGCTAGACATACAATTGCATCTATACTCATGCAGCTCAGAGCAAACCCTTATGTTCATTTTCTAAGAGCAGATAAAGACAGGACAACCTCTGAAGTGTAGCCACCACGATAAACACATATAGAATCTACGAGATGCAGACTGGATTCTTGGAGAAGTTCACGCCTAAGAAATATTATAACCAATGAATATTCAGAAATTTCAATAACACATTCAGAAAATTAAAAGATATAATTAAATCAAATTAATCAAATAGAAACTTGCAAAGAAAACAATACTTTCAGAGGCCAGAGGAAACATACGTATAAGACATAACTAGCTCACAGAGTTTCCGCGTCTTACAAAATGCAATGCACCGAAGGCCATGTCTAATCACCTCAGCAAAGAGGTGAGAAACTTCTAAAATAGGGCTACAAACAAGATGAACAGTTAGACAGGTTTTGGCTTCACAATATAACAATAAGAAAGTGTTAACTCTACACCTATATAGTTCATATTATCCAAAGATTGAACCACATATCATTGCAAAAGTTTGTAAAAATGTGCATAGGTTCTCTCAGTACCCATTGCATCTGTATAACAATTAAAAATTAGACTAGATTTTAGGGTTAATTATTTATTTTAGATCTTAAATATAGTTTCAGAAGAAATTACCTAGTGCAGGCAACAGCATTTAGTTCCATGTAGTACTTAATTCATCACACTTCCTACTGGTATAAGGCTTTGATAATAATTCACGTTAGTGAATGGAGAACTTCCTAGAAAGCCATGTATCCAAAAATTTCTCCCCTCCGGATGGCATGCTTACGAGTCTTTACTTGCTATTGATTAACCTTATGTTCACAAGCATTGTCCCGTATGAGGAAGTCTACAGAAATAACTATTGGTAATAGTAATTTCTATGAATGGAAAATTTCATTTTGAGGGTGAAATTGGTAGCAAAAGAACTACATACGTAAGTGTGATTCAAAGGGAACAATTTCAGGATATGGTGACCTTCTAAGAAGTTCTTTTTTTGGGTGGGGAGGGGGGGGGGGGGGGGGCAAA